AAGGCGGGCCCGATCGGGCGGTGCCTCGCCCGATCGGGCGCGTGTCATTATTAGGAGGTTTAATCGTCGTTTAAGATTTTAGGATTCTTGCTTAATATAAATACTTTTCCGTTAAGCGAGTTTAGCATCCTCCTTTACTCTTTCTTAATTCTTCTCTTAGATTTTCTCTTTCTTTTTAGATTTTAGATTAGTTTTTCTATCTACAACTTTGTTATTTACTCAATCCTTAATTCAGATTATTTGGTAACGATTTCTTATACTTTAATCTCAGTGATTTATTTTTATTCTTTCACCATGTCGTATTTGATTGCTTTATTTAGTTTAGATTTAATTACGTGTGAATAGTTTTATTTCTAGGGTTTGTGGGGATCCATAAATAATCTGAAGGGGTAAATTATTGTTATTGATTATTAATGCTAGATTAATTTCCTATTGATTGATTTAATGCTCTGTGACTAAATTAGGCCTGATCTTTTATGCATGAGTTTGACAATATTAATTCGAGATTCGAGAGATGAGATTTGATGTTTAGGTCTAGTTTCAATAGGCTGGTTAATTTATTTATGGTTAAGTCGAGATTCGAGATATGAGATTAATACCGGTAGAATAATTATGTGATTGTAATACGTAGCGAAAGCCCTTTATGATCTGATTAATTAATGCATTAATGTTTGATTATTATGCTTTACCCTAGAATGTTTTTTATTGGTGAACCTATGCCCTAGGTCTTTTATTCATTGATTTCCTTTATTCTTATTCTTCCCTACTTTTACTCCTATAGTTTAGTTATCCTTTGATTATAATATATTAGTTAGAGGATTTAGGAATTACTTTCGATTAGATGATACGACTTTAGCCTATCAAAATCTGGCGCCGTTGCCGGGGGAAGGTTTTATTTTTATTTCTCATTATTTTTGTAGTCTAGGTTTATTTCTTTTTGTCTTAGAAAATGTTAGTTTTTTGAGGAAAGTCTCATATTTTCTTTTAGTTCTTTGTTAATGCCCATGTGTTCCAGATCAGGTTACATCCCATTCGATCCTAAGATCGAACGATCCTTCCATAGACAAAAGAATTATTACAAGCAAATTCTGGCACGTTCTGTAATAATAATAATCACCGAGACCATCCAACTGATTCTAGCGATTCAGAGGTATCTTCAGATCTAGAATCAGAGATGGTGGTACCTAAGAAGCTTAGTGATTATTCACAACCAAAAGCTTACAGATTTCCACACCTTACTCCCACTCTAGCTCTTGATGGGGTACTGTAGGGAATATTTCAAGCATTATCCCTACCTTGAACCCCACTGTGATCATACACTAAAGTACGGTGGCGTCCAAAGGGAAGGAAGCAAGAGCAAAAGAGTCGCCGACAAGTTTTAGGAACTTGTAAACCTTTCACGAGGTGAAGGTTTCACCCCTTAACGATCCAGGAGATCGTCAACTCCAATAGGCCTTGAACCATAACGGGTAGTTCGGGGATGAAGGTACAAATCCAACCTAAAAGAGATTGAACCTGCCCTATCAATACGCCTCTACTTTATTCTGATCGTATTCTTGTGCGCTTTCTGACTAACATGCAATCAATAAGTTTACCCTAAACTTGTTTATCTATGTTGGTTGAATATTAATGCAAAAACAAATCTATTATTGGTGATCACTTGAATTATAATCAAATTAACCCTAAACAAGATTATTAATTATCTTATTAAGCGTGATTACAAGGACAAAATCCCTTTAAACATGCGTAAAAGGTGTGATCAAGCAATTACAAATAAATATAATCAAGCAACATAATAATAGTTATCACAATTATAATCATATTTATTATCATAATAATAATAATAAAAACAATCATAATTAAAATAATCATCATAAATTGTAACAATTATAATCATAATAATAAAATTAATCATAATTAACATAAACATGTTAAAGCATAATAATAATAGCAAGATCCTAGGCATGATACTAAAAAGATTAATAACAAACCCTAGCATGTCACAAAGTAATAAAGATCAAAGCTTTAACCCTAACATGATACTAACATGAATATTAGGAAAGAATATAGGAAGCATCGCAGGAATCATAATAAGCATATTTGGTATTAGAAACCTTTTCCCTAAACATAATACTAGGAATCATTGTTTTTATTCAAAATATCAAGCATCCTAACATGATACTAGGAATCAAAATAACAATGCAACCTAAACATGATTTCTATATCATAATATCAATAAATAAATTAAAGCACTTACTTGGATGCCTCGTATCTCTTTCTAATAACAAAATACACGCGTTAGTAACTTCAAAGAAAATATAAAATCAAACAATTAAATTAAACAATTAAAATAGAGATTTGGGACCAAACCCTCAGAAATTAAAACCTTTCACGTCTAGGGCGAAGGCAACTTCGAATTTGGCTAGGTGTTTCTAGGTCTTGTGAATGCGGAATTTTGTTTGAGAAAACCTAGTTTAGAAAAGAATTCTTAAAAGCTAGAAAGAACAAGAAAAATAATTGTTGTTGATGAGAATTGATGATTAAAAACGGAGGTTTTAGGAGGCTATTTATAGATAAAATAAGCCAAACGGATAGGAAAACGAATCAAAGTTTCGACAAGAATACAACACGATTGGCAGCAGACGCTGGACATTAGCGCCAGGGGCTAGACATAAGCGCCAGACACTGGACATTGGCGTCAGGCGCTAATAGCCGTTTTCACGCGTTTTCTTAATTTTTATATATTTAGCCGTACAGAAGGGCAGCATCGTATTTTCCTTAAAAACATTCTTTTATTCTGTTTAAATTTTAAAAAGTCAACCAAAGTTTAACAAAATGAGGAAAAAAAAGTCAACCAAAAAAATTTTAAAAAGTCAACCAAAGTCAATTTATCAGGTTGAACAATAGGAATATTAGTTTTACTTATGTTGAATTTTGTAAATTATTTTAATTCAACTCTAAACTACGTTTTCAATGGCTTCCTAATAATAAAATGGTTGATATTTATCATGCTTTAAGTGGTTTACCAACCCCCGACCACCAACATGCTAGTACGAAACCTATCCATCACCCTATCCAAAAAATCTGGCAAAGATTTGCAGGATTGTGTTTTCTTGGTAGGAACGAGTCTCACAAAGCCCAAACCAACGAACTAGATGTTATTAAACACTATGTGTATGGGTTTGGTAAACTGAACATAGGTAGATACATCATCCACCACCTAATTAGACATGCCACTACCAGTACCTAGTCTCGTACCCCTATTCGTATAGGAGGCCTGATCACTAGGATAACAATTAAAAAGGCCAGTTTTTTTGAGAGTGGACCCCACTTGATGACTAAATGTGGACCGGATACCTTTATAACTGCTAGGTATTTTGAGGAGTTGGGTTGGGTACGATTGGATAGTGAGCAAACCCCCCACTGATGTATTAGGACTGGGACTGAGCAACAATTGCCTATCTTTCCCCTACCTAGTCCTGACTTGTCCGCTTTTCCCTTCGGGCAAGTGTCCTACACGTACAACCTTTTAGTTTCCCATTCTATGCGGTAAGGACCACCAGTACCACCACCAGTCCCACCACCCCAGCCTGAGCCTGAGGTAGTGCATTCACCACCTTGCATGTCTCACACTGTCCCCCATGTTGACTCTGACCGAGTTTATGACCTCCAGAGTATAGGTCAGGCTTTAGGCCGTATTGAGCATTCCCACACTGGCCTTAGGAGGATGGTTGGCTCCATTGACCATTCATTAGGGTACCTTGAGAGGAAGCAGGGTAGAGCTCTCTACCCTATGTATGATGATTATGCTCGTCGGGGCAACATTCCCGACGATGCCATTTACCCTGACTGGTTTCAGCCTCCACCCCAGGGATATGATTGGGATCCCAATGTCCATTATATTTATACTGACTATTCTTCCTTTCATGGGTACGACTAGGACACTCCTTTCGGGGGACTAGCCGGGGGGGGAGTTTTCACGCTGATTATTTTGGTGGTAGCTCTTTTGGTGCTAGGGGTGCAGGTGGCAGCAAAGGTGGAGGTTTTGGATCATTGGATGAGGATGATGAGGATTAGCCATGCTGGGCTAGTTCCCGAACCAATGAACACATTGTCTGATTCTAGCTTGGGGGAGATTTTGGATTTGGTAGCTTTCTTTTTCTCTTTTCTTTTGTTTTTGGTGGTTTTCTTAGATTAGATTTATTTCTTTCTAGGTTAGTTTTATTGCTTTATTCTATGAAAAATACAAAAAAATTGAAAAAAATAAAAAAAAATCCAAAAATACGTTCCAATGAGTTATAAATCATGCTCTCTTGTGCCCCATACTTTGAAAATATTATTTTGATTCTTGGTATATGATGATAAGCATTGTGGATTTGTTGATCATGATTTGATGTTTGATTGATTAGATATCCTAACATGCGTCAATTTTGTCCAATGATCGAGGGTTAGATAGGTTGTTAAACTACTACCCTAATCAAATTAATCATTTATATACCTAAACTACCTTAATACAAGTATAGGGGCAAGTAAAGGTTCAAACCACTAAGGAAGCTCACTTATTAACACTAGGCGAAAATATGAATTGGCCACCGGTTCAAAACCCCCCAATGCCACCGGTTAACCGGTGGCAATAACCCTTCCATCTTTTATTTTTTTTGGTATTATATATAAATGCCACCGGTTAACCGGTGCCAATGTGCATGTAAATATATATATTTTTTTTTTTGTTTTTGGTTTTGTTTTTTCCACTTGAAATATACTCCAACGATTCAATGTAATTAGGTAAGAAACACAACATCGAAAAGAAACATCGAAATCAACCGAAATATAATCCAAAATATAATTATCATTAAATTGTTATTGTACAATACAAAAATAAAAAAATATTACAACATAAAAAAATTAATAAATAAATAAAATTACAACATCAGAAATAAAAAAATATTAAAATTAAGTTCTAAAACAATATTCCAAAATCAACATCTTGATTTTTTTTTACACAAACATCTTGATTCTTCGTGGAGTCATAATCTAATACCTGTATAAATTAAAACACCAAAATTAATAAAACTCAAGAACTAAAAAAAAAAATGCATTATCTACCCAGAAAACTCAAATTAATACAAAAAAACCTAAAAAAACGCATGCAATTTCACCGGAATACTCGTATAATTTCGAAAATCAGAACACCAAGATTAAAATTAATAAATAAAAACTCACAAAAAACGCGAAAAAAAATTAAAAAAAAAATTAAAAAAAAATCCAGAACACTCATGCAATTTCGAATTAAACATAAACCCAGAAACCCTTGAATAATCAAAATTGAACCCAGAAACATAGACCCATCAACACTCATCAATTAAACCCAGAAACCGTAACCTCGAAATATCAAACCCAAAAACTGCGAAAAAGAGCGAAAATTGGTGTTGATGATGTAGATCTGACGGTGTTGTTGATGTTGCTGGTGTGGTGGTGGCGTGGTGGTGATTTCGTGGGTAATGGATTTTTTTCGGGTGAAGTTGGGTGATGTGGCTGTGTAGTGCGGATTTGATGGAGGACGAAGGAGGGGAACGGAGGAGAGAGGACGAAGGGCGACAAGAAGGAGATCAGTTGGGGAGTAAGAACGAAGGAGAGAAGGAGATAGAGAGAAGGAGGAGAGCAGGAGAGGCGACAGAGGAGAGAGAATATTAGGGTTAGGGTATACAAAGGAAGGGAAAAGAGAATGGTGGACTTTTTTTTTTTTTTATTATTTGATTATTGCCACCGGTTCAAAACCGGTGGCCTTTATCATTTATTCCACCGGTTCGGCTTGAACCGGTGGCAATGTACATATGCTTAATCCCGCACATTTTTTAAGCCACCGGTTTTCAAAAACCGGTGGCCACTGAGCGGTGTCTTTTTCAATTTTTCTACTAGTGTAACCATCAATTTTCACAAATACAAGAGTCAAAGGGGGAATGTTTTTGATGGTTTTTGAATAAAAAGCATTAAAACTTCCCATAAGCAGAGGTAATGATGATTAAATCAAGATAGACGACGCTAGGGATACGGGGGTGTCCAATATGATTAGAAAGAAGAGAATAATGATGATTATCATGAATCACATGCCAAAGAACACAAGTTTCTACCTAAAAAATTCTTTCTCATGTCATAGTCTAGGCAAATCAATGAAAGAGGTCTACACTAATAAGGAGCATTCTCATGCATCCTATTAGTTACAATCAAATCAAGAGAATAAAGAAGCACAATCCATAAAAACTTCACTTTAATAACTCATTCTCATGAAATCATTAAAATAGAGATTATCTTAGTCTAGTTCAAATCACTTTCATGCATTTAAACTAGAAAACATCAAATATTGTGCAACAATAAGCTCAAGATATTAAAAATCATGTCTTTCATCAATTTATGGCATAAGTTCAATCCATCCATCATCATTCATCCAATATCAACTCATATCTTCTACCCCTTCCCCTAGCTAAAGGTTTATCCTAGAGAAGGGATATTAAACATAATATTAAAACTATAAATAAACTCAAGAAACTCAAAACAAAACGTGATTAAAATCAATGAAATCAATAACAACTATATGAACTAATAAGATTAACAAAAAATAAGCAACAATAAATGAAAATAAATAAAGCTAAAGGAAAGGATTAGAGATTACTAAAGAAAGGATTAACGAAAGATGAAAACTTGAATTCTTTCTTGATTGATATTAAACTTGAACAAAGTTGAATACTTGGAAGAAAATTCAGCAATAATCTACTTTCTCTCTCTAAAAATTTTCTAATCTAACCCTAAGTGAGAGAAGCTCTCCTAAACTAATTAATAAAATAGCATCATAAAGTTCTCTTTTAATTACCCCAAAAATGGGTATTTATACTAAGCTAAATAAAAGAAAAATACAAGAGAAAACAAAAGAAAAGAAAATAAAATAAAGAAAACTAACTAAAATAAACAAATAACAAAACTAAAATAAAAAAAGGAAAATAAAACCCAAAAAAACCCCCCAAAATCCCCTCAGACCCACGAAAATCCCACAAAAATCCCTTCATTTCGTGGCTACTCTGATCTTTGATCTTCTACACCATCACTGCATCATCAACCATCATTTTCACCGTTCAATCATCATCAACTATAATCGAGCATCAAATCGTGGCCATCCGATTTTCATTAAAATCACGTTAGAAGCTCGTGATTGTACCCACATTTGCGCGCCCGCGAAGACGTCGCGCAGAGGTCACGCAAACTTACTACCTATAATATGAATTTCGATTCCATTTGTGCGCCATCTGACAAGGCTGTGCGGCTGCAAAGCTCCAAGCAAATTTGAGCTAAATTAAGGCTTGATTCTTTGCAAATGGTTAGAGAGGTGGCCGGAATTCGCTGCAGGTGTAGGTGGCGCTGCTTCGTTTTGTTGTTGCTGCAATTGCGGGCAATTGGCGGCTGACGGTGGTCTTAATTAGTGGCTGACGGATGTAGATTGGAGGTGAGTTCGGGCTGCGAGTGCTGGTGATGTTGGGTGGTTTGGGTTGCCGCGGCTAGCTGCAAATTGTTGGCGTGGTGGATGCGTGGGGGTGGTTTTTTTGTAGGTGGTGATTAATGGTTGGAGTGAGTTTTGTTGGAGGTAGTTGCGAGTGGTTTTGTGGTAAAATAGGAGGCGTAATAGGAGTTTAATTTAATATGGAGTGGGTGGTGGAGCAGGGGAGGGTTGTTTGTGGCGTTGGGCTGCTCTGCTGCTATTGTTATTGCTGTTGGGGAAAGCAGGGGAGTGGGAGATGAGGTTGAGTTGTGGTGTGGCTGTTGGCTGGTTATTGATGGTGGTTCAGGGTGGTTGTGACTCGAATTGGGAGTTGGTTGGTGGTTTGAGTGAGGAGGCAGTTACGTGGGCTGGTGCTGTTATTGTGGAGTGCGTGAAGGGCGGGGGAGCAGGGGAGGTGTTGTGATGTTGGTGTGTGTTGTTTAGGGTGGTGTAGGATAGTTAAGGGTGTGGTGAAGGTTTAGGTGGCAGCAACTATGATGGCTTGGAAGGTTTTAATTTGTGAAATTTGACACGACTCAATCCCGAAACACCAAACTTGTTTTGAACATGAAAACGGAGCATCAACCTGAACACACCTACAACAAAAAAAAATCATGATGGTAGATTGACATATAAAATAAAAATAAAAATAAAGTAAAATAAAATGATAAACTAAAAGAAATAAGAAACAGAGAATAGCTAGAAATTTATTATATAACAAGAACTATTAAATTAAAATATAGACATAGAAAATAAGAGAAATTTAAATAAATTAGGAAAATAAGCTAAAAACTATAAAAAAACTACAAAAATACACAAAATAGAGATCAAATAAGGAAAATAAGGAAAAGAGTGAAATAAAGCGTAAAACTAGGGAAATTATTAGAAACTAAACCGGAAAATAAGCATAAAAATACCCTAAAAGTGACATAAAAGTCACTTATCAAACTCCCCCAAGCTAAACTTTTGCTCATCCTCGAGAAAATTAACATGAAACACAAGAGAAAGAGAATGAATTATTCACGCAAAGCTAAGACACTAAAGGAGATAAGAATGTACACTAACTCACTTTCGTAGGAATCACGGTCAATTTTAGCAACTAAAGACAAGCCCTTTAAACCCGTGGATCGCCCTAGAGGACGAGTATACTCTCGTGAGGGTTTCCTAATAGCTTAACCCACAAATCTAGACAAAAACCAAGGCAAAAAAAAAAGAAAAAGAAAATCAAACTCAAAAAACAAACACAACCATGACCAACATCACATGGCAAGGTTTAGGAAAGCCAATCAAGCTCAAAGGCGGAAAATACTCCATTTGGACTGAAAAAGAAGACACATGCACCGAAGAATACTCACCTTTCTCAATTCAATGAGGGAAAACACGTTCTAAGATGCTCATGGTTGAAAGAGACAAACCTAAGCTAATCATAGAGAACTAGAGAATTCATTCTCCGCCCTAGCCCCATCAAAGACGGTCCACGTTCTCTCCACTAGCTTCAAATCACCCCTAGTTAGCTCCTCATGCTTCCACGAAGGAACCGGAAAAAAGATTCAATTTATGGAATTAGTGGGTCATCCCGACATCTCAACTATGCATACTCTCTCCATAGGGTTGAAATCTATCTCCTTCCACCGGAATTTGACCTTACCCCTCTAAATTCTAAGGGTCTTAACTAGGATTGTAAAGTAATGCAAAGGGTTAAGGCGGGGTAAAAATTTGAAAATTTTTGTGACATTTCCTAAGTGAAGCAAAAGGGTGATCAAACCTCAAAAACAAACTCAAGAAATCACCAAACATCGAACAAAAATAGCAATAATTCCATCCCCCCCCCCCCAAGCTTACTCAACACTAACATTCCATAAAAACGAAAACGAAGTAACGCTCCCCCCTAAGCTTGAACGAAGCATTGTCCTCAATGCTTAACATAGGGATGAAAACGAAACCTACTTCCTCTCCTTTTTTTTTCCTTGCCTTTTTTAACTAAGGACGACTTTTTCTGGGATGCATTTGCTTCATTACACACAATATATACAATTTACTTTCTTGCTTGGTACAAAGAGCATAATACATTCTCATTTTCATTACAACATATAACAAATTCTCAAACCAAAATGCTTCACAAACTAAGTGTTAGGGAAAATGAAAGGTCATAAGGCTTATAATGCGGATCATAATCAAGAAGGGGAATAGGCTCAAAGGGTAAGCAAGAGGAGCAAATACAAAATAAAATATGTAACAAAACTAAAAGAAGATAAAGAAAAATGAGGAAAGGGTGCCCTTTTCCTCCCCTAGAGACGCTTGGTCACGGTCTTAGGAGTTAGAGGACAACACAAGGATTAAGATATGCATAGTCAAGGATCCTAAACGCCGCTCAACAAAATTTATGAAGGCTTGAACAATCTAAACCTCACAAGGGATGGGAAGTAAGCAAATACTAAATAAAGAGCTTCATATCCACTATAGAGAGCAACACCATCTTACCACTATCCCATGAACTAAGGGTTCAAACGTCCTCAATAGTTCTTAACCTTGCTACCTTAGCTTCAAATTTTTCTATCTCAACCACAAGCACACTCAAACCGTGTAGGCCATCATCAATTAGGAAGAAAAACATTCTTTGGCACATTTTTAAAGCAATCAATTCCAAATGCATGAGAGAATCCCAAAACAAATTCATTTCGTCTTGCCATAGTCATGTTTGCCACAAAAAAAAAGGAAAACAAAACAAAAGAAAGAGGAATAAATAAAAAAGGTTCACAAACGAGGCATTTAATCCAAATAAGTCCCAATCGTCAAACAATTGATCGTTCGATAACAACATCAACGATCCCAGGTTCCATAGAACCAATGCAAACAACCTCGAACCATTCAACTTCTTCCTAAACTAGTCCTAAACTAAGCACTCAAAGAAAGAGTAAAAGAGTAAAAATAAGAAAGGTCTCACCGGGAGGTTGGCTTAAAATAATTAAGGAGCATAAAATAGAGTTCACCAAATGTCACTACGCTCCAAACTTCAATAAAGCAACCTACAAGGCAAGACAAGACACAAAAGAAAACATGAAAAGAGAACAAAGAAATAAACCAAAAAGAAAAATAAAGGAGGGGGAGAAAAAGAGTTAGAAATCCTCCGGGTTGCCTCAAGGGAAGCGCTTGTTTATGGTCTCTAGCTTGACCCTTCACCTCATT